CCCGGGCCATCTCCCGGCCCCCCTTCGTGCCCACCTCTGCCCTTTCACATCCAGCTCCCCTCAGGTCTATCTGCCCCCCCAGGCTGTGTTTAACACCCCTGCTCTGCCTCTTCACAGCTGCCCTGGCAGAAGCTTCGGGAATGACCTGCAAGCCCCAGGCTGTGGCTGAGGCTGTAGGACACCCAACCCTGGCTGCACCTCAGAACCCCCAGATGTGTAAATAGAATATTTTTTTTCCTTCAGCTTGCAGTTAGCACAAGGCATGAGTGCTCTTTGAGCCCCTGCATCCTCCCCATGTCCTTTGTTACAAGTGGTCCCTAATAACCAGGTAATTACAGCACCATGGAATCATGGAATCGTTTGGGTTGGGAGGCACCTTAAAGCCCATCCAACTCCTACTGTCCCAGGTTGCTCCAAGCCCCATCCAACCCGGCCTTCAGGGCAAGCCTGGCACTGTTATTTGTCCTTTCATTACATGGAAGCAGCAGCAGCAGACACAGGTGGCTCTCAGGCCTGGCAGAACACGTTGATTCCTGGTTCCTTGAGATTCCCTGGAGCCCAGTCTGTCTGAGACATGGATCACAGGAACAGGATATTTATCCTTGTCTAATCTGGCTAATACAGAGATTAAATTTGACAGCTGCATTGCAGCTACCTCTGGGCCAGGCTATTACCACTGGTTGATTAAAACAAAGCAGCATTTATGTAGTAGAGATTTATCAGAGGTAAATTAGAGATGTATTGAGCACAGCCTGCATGGGGGGCTCAAAAAGACAATGAAAATTCATCTCTTGGAGTCAGAAGGGCAAATATATCACAAAAAAGCTTTCTCAAGGAAGGAATAAAAGTCAGTTAAGATTGGGGGACATCTTAATAGATACCACAAAAATGCTGAGGTTCTTCCCAAAGAAAGGGGAAGGACTTATTAACGTGTATGAATTAATGTGCCTGTCAGTAATTGCAGTGCTAATTTGGTTTTTCTGGCACAAATAAATGTTTATTTAATAGCAGCCTTTTATGAAAGGTAGAGCAGGGTGGATTTAATGTATTTCCTGCTATTTTCCAGACCTCACACAGAACATCACCTGTTGTGTGACAGCTTCTCCATAAGTTTCAGGGAATTTAAACACGAGAATCATTGAGCTGTGAAGGGCAACAGCCTCTCAGGTGCAAAGCTGCAGTCCCTGCTCATTCTGGGTGGAATGAACTGCACCAAGAGCTCATCAAGGCTGAAGTGTCACTTATATCCCAGCAGAGCTGCTGGGAGACTTTATTCTGCAAATCTGCAGAGTCCTCCTGAAGATCAGTGCAGCTGCTCTCAGCAGCCAGCGCTGCAAGCTCGGCTTTGCCTGGATTTTTATTCACCATTTGTCTTTAAATTGAGTCCTGGCTGCATTCATGCATGTCAGAGCAGCCATTCATTATTCAGAACATGCAAAGATAGAGTCTTCTGTGCTAATTTGTTTTATCTTGAGCAGAGATTGGCCTTGAAAGGGTGAGAAATGAGAAACAGAGACACTGTAGAGAGGAGGATTCCCAGCATGTTGGTCAGGGATTCAGGGATTCAGGATATTTTCTGGGATATTTTCTCAGCTCCTGCAAACTGAAATACCTTGTTTCATGCCAATAGATTTATGTTAATCTGCCCTACAGCAACCTGAGCACAAGATTTAATTATTAATGCTATCATTTCTTATGCCATGTATTAATAAAGGAATGTACCTCAGCTTGTAAAAACCACTGCGCCTCAGATGCCAGCAAAACAAGCCTTGTAACTGTGGGCTGTTAATATTCCTTCTCACATTTTTTTGAGTGGAAAATCCTTTGCTGTGTGCCAGGAGCACGGGGAGGAGGATGGGTGTCTGCAGCCAGCCCTGCAGTGTGGAACCTCCATGGAACTCAGGGTGAGGATGGAGCTTTGCTACTCCAAGGAAAAGAAAGGCATTCCTGAAGGCATCCTGCTCCCCAAACTCCTATTTCCAGGCACAGGGGAATGCTGCCAGATTCCACCATTCCCTTTGTGTCCCTTTTGCTGCTTTCTGCCTTAATGCAGAGGATAATCAAGCCCCTGGATGTGTGTCAGAAAAATCAATATTGTGAGCAGAGGGAGGGGATCAAGCAGGGCGGGTTCCAGCCAGGATGGAGTGGCCTGTGCCTCTTGTCTCACCTGCAGCAGCTCAGCACTGTCCCCCTTTGCCCTGGTGGAGCTGAAGCTGCTCCCTTACTGATTGTGAGTGTCCCCAGGCCATCAACATTTCAGGCAGAGAATCCCAAACCCAGGTTCACCTCTTGAAAACATTCCCTGGGTGACCCAAATAATGCAAATTATTCTGAGGGATGGTGCAGAAATNAGCCCTTCAAACCCCACCATCCCCGCATTTTCAGAGCCCTTCAAACCCCATCATTCCTCACCTGCAGAGCCCTTCAAACCCCACCATCCCCGCATCTTCTGGACCCTTCAAGCCCCAACTTCTCCTGAACTGCAGAACCTTTCAAACCCCCTCATCCCCATATCTTCAGAACCTTCCAAACCCCATTATCCCCGCATCTTCAGAACCCTTCAAACCCCAATTTCTCCCGACCTGCAGAACCCTGCCCACCCCATTATCCCCGCATTTTCAGGACCCTTCAAGCCCAAATTTCCCCCGACCTGCAGAACCCTGCACACCCCATCATCCCCTCCCCTGAAGGACCTCGACCCTCCTCCCCCGCGGGACCCTCCCAGCCCGCACCCCTCACCTGCAGGGCGGAGATATCCGCGCTCTGCTTCTCTTCCAGCTCCTGCAGCTGCTTCTCCAGCGCCTCGTTCATGCCGCGGGTGGCCTCGATCTCCAGCGTCTTGGCTTTGAGCAGGCGGCGGCTCTCGGACACCTC